TTAAAGCTTTGACTGCTTGTCTGCAGGTTGAGAAACAAACTGAAGGATTTGCGGATCAGAGATTGTAGTTTCTTTGACTGAGGCACCGAACCGAAGAGCTCTAGTGCAAATCTTCTGTTTAGTTATTATTTTAAATCAAAATCATTAGAAAATACAATTTGCATGTATTCATACAAAGGAAAAGATGGTGGTATGTTACAATAATTAAATCAAAGTAATTAGTAAGTAGATAATGCACTGTTAAATGTTTTCCACTCCTGCCTGTTTAACCTTCGTCATTCTGCCCTCTGGTGGACGAATGTCTCATTACAGTCATCTCCTTCAGACGACTAGGTGCGTATAAAAATGCAATATGAGGAATGAAAAATAAATACAGCTAGAAATAGGAAATAAATTGAAAGCAAGATTGTACAAATTAGGTGTGTGTGTGTGTGTGTGTGTGTGTATATATGTATGTGTATATATATGAGTGTGTGTGTGTGTGTATATGTGTGTAAACGTGTGTGTGTGTATATCAGCAGAGAGGAGGAGGATTTGTCTGCATCAGCCTCCCTGGTCCCCAGCTCCTCCTACTACAACACATCTGCTCCCAAAGCCGAGCTCCTCATCAAGATGAAGGACATGCAGGAGCAGCTGGAGGAGCAGGACTCCGAGGACGAGCCGGACGTCAACCTCGCCAGTAAAAAGGTGAAGAGCGGCTCAGCTGGACAGAAATCTCCTCCTGCTGTCATTTGGACGTAGTTCTAATGCTCCTGTGTCCTTTCGTCTCCAGCAGGAGCTGATCTCCAGCCTGGCCCGGAAGCTGGAGGTGCTGCGGGAGGCCCGGCGCAGCCTGCAGGAGGACGTGGAGGACAACGAGGCTCTGGGCCGGGAGGTGGAGGCCACCGTGCGGCGCCTCTGTCGGGCCAACCAGCTCGACAAGTTCTGCATGTTCGTGGGCGACCTGGACAAGGTGGTGAGCCTGCTGCTGTCGCTGTCGGGGCGGCTGGCCCGCGTGGAGAACGCGCTCAACGGCCTGGAGGACGAGGCCCCGCCGGAGGAGAAGGTAACGGCCCGGGGTGGCGGAGTGAGCCCGAGCTGTCCAGACATGCGCTGACTAATCTCTGATGTTCCTCAGAGAACCCTGACAGAGAAGCGGAAGATGCTGATGCAGCAGCACGAGGACGCCAAGGAACTGAAGGAGAACCTGGACCGCCGGGAGCGCCTGGTCTCCGGCGTCATGGAGGCCCACCTGGAGGCCGGAAGCCTGGACGACTACCGGCACTTTGTGAAGATGAAGTCGGCCCTCATCATCGAGCAGCGCAAACTGGAGGACAAGATCAAGCTGGGCGAGGAGCAGCTGAAGGGCCTGGTGGACAGCCTGCCGCCGGAGACCAGGCCCTGGGTCTGAGGCCCCTGGAAGAGGACCTGGTCCTGCTGGTGGAGCCACATGCAGCATTTTCACATTTAGTTGGTTCACGTGTTCGTGCCAGAAGGACTGTGGGCCCTCAGGAACTAATGGAGGTCAGTTGGACCTTTTTAATTGATGAAAGAACGGCGGCTTCTTTGACGCTCGACTTTTGCACGATGACTGAACCACCTTTTTAAACGGGTCTGTCCCATAACAGAGGAAACCGTTTCTAAGAAAAGGGCTCGTAGTCTGGTAAGGACTGTATTTTATTGACTGGAGAGGAAGGATTTGCTCTTAACTTTCCGCTCGGTCTCCAGGAACTTGTTGATGTGAATATTGATCCCGGTTGATATCACACGTTTTAACAGCGTTCGCTCCACATTTTACTGCGCGTGTAGCGACATCTTCACGGAGAGGATCAATCAAACCAACATCCTTCCCAAGTGTTTCTGACCGTTTGTATCGTTGTATTTAAGAGCTGTCAATCAACTACCGTTTTATCTACGTGACATTTCCTGTCTGCAGACGGGGAATTCATTTTAGTTTTTGTTTTCCAAGGAAATGAAATGAGTTGATATTAACTTGGATCTCCTGCTTTTACTGCACATCATCTCTTTGTGTAAAGTAGACATACGACCTCCTTTTGGAGTGACAGCTGTCATTTCTGCTCGAATGAGGCAATGACTGGATGAACGGCTACGGACGGTGTTGACCTTCTCCAACACGATGTTTCTATAATATAATATAATACATATATATTGCGATGGTCTTTGTCGCCTGTAACCGCAGATCTTTATTCCCGCTTTTCTACTTTCTCCGGGTGACGGAGGCTCGGCTGGTGTCTCTCAGGAGGATCATCTCAGTTAGCACCTTCTTCTCTGGTTTGACTCTTATTTATTTGAGGACGTGGCTGCTGATGGACTGACGTGGGCGTGTACCACACACACACACACACACACACACACACACACGTATGCAGTGCGCACTTTCACCTACAGAGCAATAAAGTGATAGAGCTGAGAGATCTTTGTGTTTCTTCTGAAGTCACATAAAGTCCTTCGGTCCTTTTGTGTCTTCTTATTTCAGGCCTGGACCCCCGTCCCAGTGTCCCCTCCTGGTTCTCTGTTGGGCGAGTTTGTCCCAGTGTGAGAGCGAATCGTTTAGTTATTTTAGGAAAGCCCGACTTTGCGTTAGAGAAGATGAATACAAAGAGAAGCAAAAGTTTAAACTTTAACATTTCATTCTGTTGCTCAACACCCCCTCAGGCTTTGGTGAGCTTGTCCTTCTACGCCCTTGTGGACATTAACTGCTTTAACTGCCCCCCCCAGCACAACGTGACTCAGACTTACGGGATATCTGAGTACACTTTAATCCCAAAACGAGGCTCATAGTCCGTGTTCTATTAGATCAAAGTTTTTTATTCACACCAATTTGAATCCCGCTAATAATGACCCAGTTTTATGTATTTTTTTAAATATAGATCATCTTATTCTGCTTTAGCTGGTCGAATGACGCGGCTGCATACAAACACTCGTTGAGATGTAATCAGTGCAATAAAAAGAGGTGAAGCATGTGAAACTACACAATAGTAACGCCGTCATAGCGGTTTATGGTCTGTCAATGATTCCACCGCCCGGCGACGCTGAATGTGGGTTATTGGTCACAAGGAGCGACCTTCTTGCTGGAGCAAGAAGCTCGAGGGAGCCGCATCAGGTACGTGGTCACCGTTGTAACAATGTTGGGCAAAGACATAAGAATGTTAGACTGAAATGTAGATTTGAAAAATTGTAGCTGGTGAAAAATCAAAGCGGCAGAAGGTGAAAAACAAACATTTGCTCAATGATTTAAACCGACCGCGATGAGTCTCCACGGAGCTGCTCCTCAGACGCGTTTCCTCCCTCCGCTCCGACAGACAGGACGAGATGCTCCTCTGTGACCTCGGACCTCCATTGAACACCTCGTGTCCTTTCAGAGGAGCTCCTTTGCAGGCCACCGGGTTACCCAGGCAACGGAGGAGTACCCGGCTTTGACGTGTGTCTGGCAGGGGGGAGGAGTTGGCCGGTCACCTGAGGGTCTGTCGGAGCTCCACGGCTATGACTCACACCGCCGGCGCCCAGCTGTGGGCCCTGGGGCTGAGCTGCGTGGGCTGGTCGCTCGGCGCCGTGGCGCTGGGCCTCGTCCAGTGGAGAGTCTGGCTGGTTTCCGACAGCGAGGTCATCGGCTCCGGGCGGGCCTGGGTGGGCCTCTGGCGCGCCTGCTTCGACAGCCACACCCACGTGACCCCCGGCTCCGGGGTCATGCACTGCAGGTACGTCGGCCTGGCGGAGGCCTTTCACGCCGCCCGAGATGGCGGCCGGTCAGGTGCTCATGCTCCTGTCCCTGCTGACGGGGCTCGCGGGGAACGCAGGCGCCGTGTACTCTGTGAAGACCTTCACTTTGGGATGGAGAAGACCTCCCGCACGCGAGCGGCCTTCTTCGCACCGGGGGCCTGTGCCTGTCGGCCGCCGTGATGTCGCTCACGCCGCTCCTGTGGAACTTGAGCTCAGTGGTGAGCAATCAGACCATCCAGTTCCCCCCCGAGTTAAAATGCCCCCGGCTCCGGGACTCCACCAGGTGGGGAGCGCATCTGGGTCGGATGGTGGGGGCGGCCCTCATGGGGTCTCTTGGATCACCTCCTGTGCGACAGGTCCCGGTGGACCCCCGGGGGCCGGGCTAGAGATAACCGAACGTTAGGTCCACCACAGTGTCACTCGTGTGTGTGCGGCTCGTGGATTCGCGAGGGATTGCAGAAAATCTCAAGCAGAACAAAAGTCCCATGGCTTTCGGCCTGGTGCATGGAGATGATTAAGTGTTCATTTTAATACAAAGTTTTTTCCACAGAAGTTTTGTTTAATTAACTGAAAGAAACCCACACAGCAGAATTTTCTTAAATATTTTATTCTCAAAAAAGGCAACAAAGCTCTCTCCAGAAATTTCAACCCATCTGTATCAACGTTCCTCTAAAGAAGAGGCTCAGATCACAGCCCCCCCCCAAAGGAAAAAGCCCCAGAGATGAGAAGACCTGAACTACGTCCCTTTAGAGAGGCGCTCAGCTGAGTTGATGGAGACGGAAGGCAGGATGGACTCAACGGTTCCCCCAGCTGACGCTGCAGGGGGGGGGGGGCCCAAACCCAAAGGACAAGCGCCGACGCCACCGTTTAACATAAGAGACAAAGAGTGAGTTTCTATCTAGATATATCGTTACAGAATGAACCCCTTTGATTTGAATAAAGGACGACCCTGCAGATACATTTAGCATCTCATTCAAACTGCTGAACACAACACGAACATTAAAGCACAATGATCAATAAAAATGGGTTTTGAAATCTGTCATTTGACCGCATGGGGTCAATTATTTCCACCGTCCTCCTTTTTAAATTCTGTGTGCATCGATTATCGACGTCCTGGATGACCGAAAAAGAGGCTTCTGAAGTCAAACATTTAAAGGAATAGTGCATCCAAACACCTATTTGCTCAGCAGACTCCGGCTTCGCTTCAGCGGCGTCATCTGTTCTCGTGTGTCTAAAACGTCACAGCGCCGCGGCTTCAACCATCGATTTAAACAGGACTGGTTATTGCAATCATCTCAGAGCGACGGATCAAACTAGGACCTCTCAAAGCTTTTGGTCCCCCGGTGATACGTTTGGATTCGGAGCAGTAAAATCATTCATCTCTTTCTGTTGTTCTATGACAACGCTGTGATATTGTATCGGGATAACTTGTCTTTGCCGCCGGTATACGTGTGATGAGATGACGTCATATTCCGTTGTGGGCAAACTATTCCTTTGATGCAGATTGTTCCTTGGTGGCATAATTTGCTTTGAGGTCTAAATGTTTGGGTGTAACACACACGCGCGCTGAATGCTAACGACGGAGTCGACAACACCAGCATCTCGCTGTCGTCCTCGTCCTCGTCGTCCCCTCAGCCCGTTCCCCTCTCCCCAGACACCGGAGCCCTTTTAGTCGCTTTTGATCCAGATGGTTTGAAACTGAACAAAAATACGTACATACATACAAAATAAAATACAAAAAAGCTGTAGAAATGCAGGAGGCTTAATCGTTCCAAAGTCCACCCGTCTGTTCTTGATAGACCTCGATGACGTCCTCGTCCTCCATCCCCAGCTGACGCAGCAGAGACACACAGTCAAAAACACATTTTTCCCACGATATGCTTGAATTCTTCAATATCCATTTCCAAAGGATGAAAAATGTTTTACAGTAATTTCCCAGTATTTATTGCATCTGCAGAATTTATCAACATTGGTTTATATTGCAAAGCTTTTATGTAAATGTATTTTTCCAAACAAAAAAAGCATTATTTAGATTTATTTTCACGACCAAAATAAGGCGTCAAAGAGTCTTTGGGGAAAAGAATGAATCAGCTGTAGTTCTTCTGTTATGAGGTAGATGCCCAAAAAAGAAACGGGAGGGACGCATTTACCTCTTTTGGAGTTTGGTTGTCTGCGATTCTCTGTCCTTCAAACAGAAACCGTAGCGTGCTGGCTGGAACACCCTTTAAGACACAAAACAACAGCAAGGTAAGCTGAATCTGAAGGTAAGCCTGTAAATCCCTGACTCGGAATCCAGTTCAAAGTCATTAGAAAAGACCACGGACCTGTCGCTGGCTGTAAGACTCCTTCAGCTTCTTCAGATGTGTCGTCATTTTAACCTTAAAGTGGATTTCGCTGCTGTCCTGTGGGCGCAGAGAGAGCGCGAGTGGTGATGGGAATCATTTTGTCTTACCCACTTACTAGGAATTATACAGCTCCCAGTCTATAGTTTTAGACATTAAAAGTACATCGTACAGCTTTGTTTAAGTTTAACTTGTTACAATCCAAACCATGCTAAAATAATGTAGCATGTAAATGTTCTCGTAAGGGCACAGCCGAAGGTATTGTGTAGACACGGCTGGACATTGTCACGACACAATTCATTTCAGTTTGAATTCAGAAAGTTCCAATTGAATTAAGCACTGAATCCAAAAACATTAAAATAACTGCAGATGCCAGGTGCCATTTTAAGGATTGAAACATCAACCACTTCTGATTAGTGATGCATATTCCTGTTATGATCAGTGATGCATATTCCTGTTATGATCAGTGATGCATATTCCTGTTATGATCAGTGATGCATATTCCTATGTTGTGATCAGTGAGCGCCACCCATACACACCTGACCAATCACTTTTAATTTGATGTACTCTCCATCCTTCTTGTCCCCCCCGTCTTGGCTGGACGGTTTTGTCTCCTGAAAAACAAACACAAATAAACACAAACATGATCAGCCACACGCGTTACAAACCTGCGCAATAACCGTGTTATTCACATACGGGAACGTGTTGGCCTCAGAACATCGTTTAACATGTTGTAGCTCAACTTTGGAAATAAGCCGCAAAGCTAAACAGTTATTTAAGCAGAGAACTCTGGGCCTGAAGGTACACGAGCTAACAGCTAACAGCTAGCATGGGATTTCAGCAGGTACGAGGTAGCAGCCGCACAAACACACAAACGTTTCTCTTTTCCCAAATGTTGTGAAGACTATGAACAACAAAGACTCTCTCGAGTTGTTTCTTACCGTATCGGACATGTTTTCCCTCACTTTGTGCTGTTAAAATGATTCACAGCGGATGCAGCTAGCGCTAGCTTACGATCGCAGCGATAGCTCGATGTTGTTAAAATTCTCAACATCCACGGGAAGTGACGTAATGAATTGTTTCCTTCAAAATAAGACAAGGAAGTGTGTTTTAACGTTCCTTCAACTCCAATACAGCTTTAACGTGAAATTGCATCCATGCATTTGATATAGATATATGAAGATGAAGATATATGTATGCTTATTGGATATTGAAATGTTACAAATTGTTAATAATCAAATAGATACACTGCTCATGTTTGTATTATGTGGCGTGCTGATATTTATATGTATATATAATATGTATTTATATTTATAAGACAAATAACACAATACAGGAAAAATGACATGTTCCATTTACAAATTTGCACAAAAAAAGAAATTCAACATTACCATTAGTTGATTAAAACACATAATCAATTTGTTCATATTGTTATGATTCCTTTTACAATTTTAGTTATGGTTTGTATTCTCCTGTAACACATATTCTGAAATTTTAACTTAAAAAACAACAACTTAAATAAAAAATGTTGCCATATATCTAGACATCCAACGAACATTCAAGTCAATTGTTTCCCTGACCTTACAGTGTCATTGTTGTACAATGAGTAATTGCTGCTGTTTTTTAAAGTTTAAGGAGCAAAGATTCTGATTGGCCACGTGCACTGTGATGGCAAATAATATAAAATAAAATATATTTCTTTAACGGGTTTTGGTTCCGGGAAACATGTCTCTGACATCACAAATTGTGTTTTTCTCGGATTATCTCAACGAGGTTGGGGGTGGGGGGATTAAGACCTTTCAAGTGCACACAAATTAAAACATAATTTTTCCGGTTAGATCTTGTCAACATAAAAGACAAAATATATTACAAACGGAATTCCCTCCATGAGATTTTTGTGATTTTATTTTGTAATCAAAATATGTGCTTTTCCGGTAGCCGTTTGCTCACTACCTGTTAGCTTAACGCGACCGGAGGACAAGCGCCAGCGAAGCTACCGTCAACCAGCCCGTAAACAGCAAAACAAATGGAGGCTGCCGGCTGACTGTGTGTTCTTGGCAGCACACTGACACGGAGCGTAACCCGTCATCTCGTCGCTCGTAGCGGGCGGAAGCAGCCAGCGGGCTGAAGCGACCGCCGCGGGGCCTCGTCGTCGTGGCCCAGCAGGACTCGAGTGAAGTTGGGAGCGGACTCCCAAACTTCTGCTTCTCTAGCGGCTCTCCGCGGGGCCCGGGGCTCCTGTCACCGGCCCTGTGGATGACGACGTGAAGACGCGTCTAATTGACCACCAGGTAAGGTGGAGGTGGGGGGTATAAAGCACTGCCATTCGATCGTTTAACTGCTGCTTTTTGCGGAAGAGCCTTGAATAGCTGTGCGGCTAGTTCACTTTAGCATTCGCTTAGCTTGACAACTTCCCTGGCCTGACAGCTAGCTCTGCGAGGACCTCTCGGCTAGCATTAGCCCCGTTCGCTCATTTCATTAGCTCAATATGCTTTTGCTCATTGTGTGTGGACACATTTCAAGGACGCCTCATCGTCCCCAACCCTTGTTCCTGCGTGTGTGCGGGCGGCTCGTAGGGCCGAACTGGCTGGCAACAGTTGTTACTCAAATGTAGCATGCTGGGCTAGTCGGGCAGCGCTAGCAAGTCGGTGTCAACGCTAACGTTAATTATCTACCATAGGAAGCCACAGTCGTGTTGTTGGTATTAACTTTGCTGGGACCGGTGATGTTCAGCTCGCTAGCCGGCCAGCTCGCCTCTGCCGTCAGGAAATGTCACCAGTCGGGTGCAGTTGTCAGACTCGCAAAGAAGCAAATCCATGTAACCGATAATCTGTGATCGGCGGCGGAGCGGAGCCCCCGGGGACCGACGCGTCTCTGCCTGCTGTTCTTCACATAATAAACACTAGGATACATCATGACAAACCGAGAGGGTTGAGCTGAAGAAAAGCTGTGCAGTGTATGAATCGATAACCACCTCACAGAAAGTGTTACTTTCATCACTTTACTGTGATCTGCCCCCTTTTCTTTTTACACAATCATCTGACAGCTGTGAGTGCTGTTTACTATGTGCATATAACACTTGATTCTGCTTCTGGGAATCCTTTTTTTTAAATGAACAATGATCCATCACTGATGATAATAAACCCTCCCTTCAAAGAATATCTGCCTTTTTATATACAGCATTGAACACCTATTTGACAACTTCAGTCCCAATGACTTCTTCCTACTTAAACAGTCTGGAAACAAATGTTTTTTTGCGATGATTGCGCTTCGCTGTTTCAGAGATTCACAGTTGGCAGATCAGCTGATCGCTCAGCAGCTCCGGGCTCTCTGGATCTGCTTCATGACAGGATTCACGGTGTGGCTTTTGCTGTTTCAGGAGAAAGGGATCCCTTTGATGGGAGAATCCTCTTTCCTGGCCTCCCGGGTCAATCGCCGTGCCATGATGATGGGTACGTGTGTGTCTCACTGAGCGCTTCTCTTGTTAGCCAGCTTTGTCTTTCATCAAACCTTCAACCTCGAGGAATGTGCTTCTCCTTGATAACGTGTATTTTACATCTTTGCATGTAACCTGTTTTAACCGCTGCTCTTGAAAGACAAGCAAGTTCTAAGATATGTTTTAAGTCTTAATGTCAACAAAATGTCAAGACTGCTACAGAAACATTTGTTATTCTGAAGAACAGTTTATACTCCTGTTGGTCTCCAGCAAGTCAAACTGTGAATACATGAAGAAATGAAAAGTGCTTCTGTGTGTAGTGCTTTTCTAGTTTTACTGAAGGGATTTTCCTCCTCTTGGTCTTCACACGCGTTTGAGAGTCTGTTTTTCAAACTGAGGTCTCGTCTCCCCTCAGATGAGCAGGAGGCGCTGAACTCGATCATGCAGGACTTGGCCGAACTGCACCGCTCCAGCCGTCCTTCCATGTTCCTGTCGGACCTCGGCAAACCCAAAGCCTCCTCGCCCAAGAACCAGGTAAACTGTTTGTTAGGTGCTGGGCAAGAAGGCAGTCGAGGAACGTAAAGCGCCAGGAACAGCCCTTCGGATTAGGCATCAAGAGCCTCCTCTTTGTTTTAATTTGTTTAACATTTTGATTTAGAACTACAGTTTACTGGGTGTTATTCCATAGTGAGAAGCTGCTGCTCTTAATCAAGCAATATTTAAAGGGCCTTCACAGAAAGAGGGGCAGCTTTCAATGTGAGACCGGCTACAAGTGCAGAAAAGGGGCCCGTTGAGAGAACAGGGATAATAAAATGTATTGTCATGCATCCGTGTCCCTTCAATCCGATGTGTCCTCCGACAGAACGATGTGAGGGTGAAGTTCGAGTTCAAAGGAGAGAAGAGGTGAGGCTGGGACCAGTTTCATCACCGTAATGATGCTGACCCGAAGCTCTGACCTCTGACCTTTCTTCTTCTTCTTCTTCTTCACTGTAGGATCTTGCAGTTCCCTCGGCCCGTCAAGCTAGACGACCTGAAGGGGAAAGCTAAAGTGGCTTTCGGTCAGACGATGGACCTTCACTACACCAACAATGAGGTGTGAAGCCTTCTCGGGAATTGTGAAGACCCGTGACACACGTTTGACCTGCAACCTGACCCATTCTATTGAATGGTATTTAATGGTGTCTTTGTCTCTTAGTTGGTGATTCCACTGACCACCCAGGACGACCTAGACAAGGCCGTGGAGCTGCTGGATCGCAGTGTTCACATGAAGAGCCTGAAGATCCTCCTGGTGCTCCAGATCTCCTCTCAGGTAAGCAGCTCCCACATTCGTCTCAGCAGCTTCGGTTCTCTCTCAAAGTACCCGTGAATCAGTGTTTTCCAAACAAGACTGGTCTGTTTCTCCAGAACATGGACCTCCTGCCGTCCCACGAGGAGCTGGACAACACGGGGTTCCGAGTCGCTGACAAGAAGACTATGCAGGCCTTGATAGGTGATTCATGTCTCACGCTCAGACTTGCATAGAAATCACTTTCACTGAAATACGACTCGAAGCCAAAGGGACGTCCCTCAGATGGTATCCTGCCTATTTCACACAAGTACACCCTTTTAATCCTGTTTTTTACTTCAGGCTCCCATTCAACGGACCGCAGCTCGCCTCCTCCGGGTTACATCCCCGACGCCCTGCAGCAGGTGGCGAGGAACGGCTCCTTCACCAGCATCAACAGCGAGGGGGAGTTCATCCCTGAGAGCATGGACCAGGTACCTCCACGCGCCGGCTTCGTGTTCACCTTTGTCATTGTGCGAGCTTCTTTTCCTGAGTGTCTTTTTTTTTTCTTCTCTTCTTCAGATGCTGGACCCGCTGTCTATGAGCAGTCCAGAGAACTCTGCGTCTGGAAGTTGTCCCTCTCTGGACAGCCCACTGGACAGGTCAGACATCTTAGCATTCTGAGCATGCTTGTATACACACGGCGAGAAGACGTGTAAAACTACCTGCATCCTTTCTGGTTGTCGTGCTCTGCAGCGACTATCCCAAGTCCAGGATGCCCCGAGCACAGAGCTACCCGGACAACCACCAGGAGTTTCCAGGTGAGTGGCGGGATACGTTCGACCCCCAGATGATTCGGTTTTGTCTGGCTGCTCACGAGCCTCTTCTTCCCCTCCAGAGTACGACCTCCCGGTGTTTGAGAAGTCGGGTAAAGGCGGGACGTACCCCCGGCGGTACGGCGTTCCCTTCGGCCTCCAGGACTACAGCGACGGTGGGTTGTTGAGCTGCTGTAGAAATGCGACCGGTTCGTATTCCTGTGCTCACCGTCCCGCTGGTCCTCTGCTCGCAGGGAGGAAGACCTTCCCTCGCGCCCGGCGGACGCAGGTCCACGGCTTCCGCTCGCCCGTCAGCTTCAGCCCGACGGAGCAGTCGCCCAGCGCCAGCAGCGGCAGCAGCGTCTTCACCCCCGACCTGGAGGAGGGCCCGGGGCCCGGCAGGAGGCCCCGCAGGGGCAGCGACATTGAGCCCAACCCCACGCTGTCCGTCATGGACATCAGCCCCCCCAGCCGCTGTGAGTATAGGGCCGAGCCGGCGGGGGCACCGGGCGCCTCGGCCCCTCCGTGGTCATCTGATGATGTTCCCGTGTGTTCAGCTCCTCGCGCCCCCACAAACTGGCGGCTGGGGAAGCTCCTGGGACAAGGCGCCTTCGGGCGCGTCTTCCTCTGCTACGACGCAGACACCGGGCGGGAGCTGGCGGTGAAGCAGGTCCAGTTTGACCCCGAGAGTCCGGAGACCAGCAAGGTGAGAGTCGCAGGAGTGCTCCGGCTCCCACGGAGAGCACGCAGCTTGAATGTAAGCTTGAAGCTTCTTCCTGCGCTCCCTCAGGAGGTGAGCGCCCTCGAGTGCGAGATCCAGCTCCTGAGGAACTTGTGCCACGAGCGGATCGTCCAGTACTACGGCTGCCTGCGGGACACCATGGAGCGCACGCTCTCCATCTTCATGGAGTACATGCCCGGCGTGAGTCTACCTTCCCCGGGGAGTCGCCCTGGAGTCCTCCCCCGCTCGCTGACGCGTGTCCTCCTTTGTCTCCAGGGCTCCATCAAGGACCAGCTGAAGTCATATGGAGCGCTAACGGAAAACGTGACGCGGCGCTACACGCGACAGATCCTGGAGGGGGTGTCCTACCTGCACAGCAACATGATTGTCCACAGGGACATCAAAGGTGAGCCTTTGTTTGCTCACATAAAGGGGGAGGGGGATGGGGGGAGCGTCCGGTGACTCTCTGTCCTCTCGGTTCAGGGGCCAACATCCTCCGGGACTCGGTGGGGAACGTCAAGCTGGGGGACTTCGGCGCCAGTCGCCGGCTGCAGACCATCTGTCTGTCGGGGACGGGCATCATGTCGGTGACCGGCACCCCCTACTGGATGAGTCCGGAGGTGATCAGTGGGGAGGGCTACGGCAGGAAGGCCGACATCTGGTGAGTCCCCCCCCCCCCATAGGTCCTGATGATTGTGAGGGGACGTACGTGGGTTCCTGTCGTCTTCATGAGACTGATTGGTGTCTCTCTTCGTCCTCATTCGCCCCTCCAGGAGCGTCGGCTGCACCGTCGTGGAGATGCTGACGCAGCGACCCCCGTGGGCGGAGTTTGAGGCCATGGCGGCCATCTTTAAGATCGCCACCCAGCCCACCAACCCCGTGCTGCCGGCCCACGTGTCGGACCACAGCCGGGACTTCCTCAAGAGGATCTTCGTAGAGACGAAGCAGCGGCCTTCTGCCGACGAGCTACTGAGGCACATCTTCGTACATTAGCTCCCCGACCTTTGACCCCGCCTGCCTGCAGTTGATGTGGATCAGGAGGAAGTGAGGGGCGCGGGGGGGGGGGGGTATAAGCTCCTCACGTCTCTGTTTGTATGAGACTGCCATAGAAGACAGGAATTTATATTTCATTTTTCTCTGCAAGCTGCACCTTAATTTCTGAACCGGGGGGGGGGAGAGGGGTGCTCCTCCTGGAACAAAGCGACTCCTCTCTTTTTAATGTCCGTATGGGTTCTCTCTCCGTACGCTGGGAGTGGGGACAGCATCGTGTTGTGGACCTGCAGGGGGAAACGACCCCAGAATGTAGCCTCCTGCTAAAACCCTCGGGGGGGGGGACCTGGGCCCTGGGCCCGCTGCTATGGACGAAACACTCCCCGGGACAGATCCCACTCGCCTGCCCTCGGCCCGCCTCCTCTTGCGCCTCCCCCTTTGTCTCCTCTACTCCCCCCCCCCCTGTGAGGTTTTTCCGTTTGCCCCCCCCCCGATGAACTGCCTTTGCACCATTCTCAGTTCATCCGTTTCTGCCTTTCTGGGGGTGGAGCAGGTGGAGCTCACCTCCGCCCTTCTGCTTTAACAGAGAATGTACCAGCTGACTGCTCCTCAGGCGGGGATTGGTGCTGCTTACTTTCCCCGGATCCCATTGGTCGAACCCTTGTCCTCAAAGGGCAAAGGTCAGAGGACAAATGCGGAGTGGAACATTTCATCTCAGATCCCATAATTGTGAGGTGGACTGGTGGACTTTTAAATCCAGTCATGACTGGACTGTTAAACTCATCAGTCCGTCATTCTGCAGAGAGAAGCGTGCGACGTCCACTGATAGGTGTCGATATTAGATGATGAGAAGCATTTAGATACGGAGGCGGGGTCGAAACTCACAGCCGATTGGCCGACGGTTCGGCTGCATGACGCTGAGCTCCGATGTAGCTCCCCCCCCCCCCCCCCCCCCCTCGCCCCGGTCTGTCTGCTGAATACATGAGTTAATGTTCTTGCTCTTCTAACTGTGAAACCGAACCCCTTCGTGCACATTAGTGACGGTTGGATCTGAATCATTTTGTGCGCCGTTGACCCCCCCCCCCCCCCTCCCCCCACTCCGCCCTTAAAGCCTTTTTAATAATCGATCAGGCTGCAGAAACCCAAACATTTCATTTAAGAATCAACCGGAGGTACCTGCGCGCTTTAATGAGAGAAAAAACAGGATTCAAATCTAAATGTGATCTTATTAAAGGTGCAATCAGTTACTGTATTTTCCAGCGACGCCGCCGTCATGTTCTCTAAAACGTGTCGTTTTAAAGATGAGATTATAGTCGACACGTCTGCTCAGTTTCTACCCACAATAATCAGCACGCCGCTCAGCTATTGGCCGTTTAATGGTACGAGATATTGTGTCTGGGTTTGGTGGTTGTTGTTGTTATTGTTGCTAGGTAAGCCTTTATTCCTGTAATAATGTAAAACGCATCTCCATAAAAAGGTTTATTGGTACGATACAATTCAAGGGGGGGAAATAGTCACCTGAACAACAGACATGGAGGATAAAGTCTCCAATAGTCACATTTTTTGTGTAACCTTTCAAAAAGTTCCTCATTAAAACCAGGAGACTTTCTATGAAGCGATTAGGAAGTGAATCAGTCTTTGATCTGCTGATTAAGTGAATTATTATGTTTGTTGTTGTAGGTCCGTGCGGCGGCCACTAGAGGCCAGTAAAGATCATTTTACTCTTTGCACCTTTTTGCAAAAGCACGAGTGAACTGTTGTTCAGCTGATTGGTGAAGTCTGATCACAGGACTTGTTAAACTGGTCGGAAAGATGCAGACTTTGTTCAGCTCGTCTGTGATTGGTTGTCCACCAGGGAAGAGGGCGACTCTTCATCTCGCACTGGTAGCCCCCGACAACCACTCTGCACTACCTTTGAGTCACTGATGCTTCTTCACGCTCAGCCACCTTTTCTTTGCACATTTTAAAGCCTTTTTTTAAAACTCTTACACAAGTGTTTGTGCGTGTGTGTGTGTGTGCGCGGCGCAAGTGAGTCAGTACAAGAAAGTTGTCTTTTTTTTCTTTTTTTTTACCATCAGATGGCCTCGTTCACCGAGGATTAAAGCCTCTGTGTCAGTATTTGTCACCTGCAAATGCCAAGATACACCTGTAGTCCTCTATTTAGTGTCCAAAGCCACTGCTGCCACTCCTGTGTGTGTGTGTGTGTGTGTGTGTGTGTGTGTATAAACGTGCATTTACTGCAATTTGTGCTATTTGGACACAGCGCCCAAAATGCCTTGCGCATTCTGACTGTAGGAGGGGAGGACATGCAAATGATAATAATAAAAAAAAATGTACAAATGTATAAAATTAAAATGTACTCTTTTTAAAAAGAAAAAAAAGCAAAGTCCACTTCTATCCCACATGTTTGGTCTCTGTGTATTGTTAAAGAAGCCATGTTTATAATTCTAATTGGTTTGTGACCAATACGCCTGTTTATATCAGATCTGTATATCAGTGGTACGCATAATTTTTTAATATATATTTTTTATTTTACTTTTTTTTTAAATGGGAGATTTTATGCATGGTTGGGTCCTGAGAGACGCAGCGGTGCTGTTGAATGGTTGTTGTCTTTTGGAAAGATTCTGGAGTATTGCGACAGCTGTGTTCAGAATTTGAACAATTACAATGACCAACAACAATAAAAAGATATTTATTTGACTTTTCTTGTGAGTGTTTTTATTGTTTAAAGCAAACATCGTGTAAAGAAGCAAATCAGTCACCAATCAACATGTTAAAGCCAAATTGTTATGTACTGTTTTGAAACCTTTTATTGAACCGGAAGTGTGAATGCGACAGATTGTCCAGCTTTACGGTTCGCGGTGTCGGGTTTTCGATGACGTCTCGCCGACGCCCTCTGGTGGTTCACAACGTGTAACTACACTTGTGTTTTACATTGAAATCCTATACATTTATAATCTACTCTGGCTGCAATAATATTTGTGATACAACCCGCGTGACATTTACAAGGAAATCATTTGTAAAATAGCAACATTATATCCAGTCGGAAGCGTCTAGTGGACACAGCGAGATATCAAGCTGGCCGAAATGCCTCTAAGAAACAGTTCCTGGTCCATTCTTCAAAAGAGAAGTTCCTGACTGAGCTGACTGTACCAAGATGGCCGCCATGCGCGGAGGTTCTATACTCCGCCGGAAGACATGTAGCCTTTATTGCGTTGGATTCTCCAAACGCCGCGTCGTCTTTTCCCAAATCCTCATGAACTCTCCGAACCATCTTTCTTTTGATTTATTAACGATTTGGTCTCCCGGGTACCGGAAGCTTCCCGTAGGGGGGCGGGGGGGTTCCGGCTGCTGTAAAGTCGCAACAACAGCCCCGAACACATTCCTCACCCACGGGATCCGTGCGCCCGGCGCGGGATGGGTTCCTTAGCGAGATCTCTGCGGCTCTCCGTGCGCTGCGCCCGGTCCCCAGCGGGCACACCGGCCGGTCCGGAGCCGCTACACCGGGCCAGCAAACACCTGAGCGCCGGGGCCAGCAGCGGCACGGCGGGGGGGCTGAAGAGCATCGACGAGCTGCCCGGTCCCAGTCTGCCCACCACCCTGTACTGGTTGTTCCTCAGAGGATACGCGGACAAGAGCCACCTGCTGCAGGTACGAGGCCCGGGGCCCGGGGCCTTGATCCACAGATTAGAAGGTTCTGTGCAGAATCGGCTCCATTCATTTCATTTCAACATGTTGAGTGTTTTTATCACTTCAGCTTGATCGACACCACGTATAAGAAGTATTTTGTGTAATTGAAACACTTTGTACTGTTGTCTGGTTAAATGTCGATAACTCTGAGCTGATGTTACGTCTACCAAGTCCGACCATGGGACAGAAGGTGGTGCTCAGGTCCTCCACACTGACGTGTTCCTCTCAGGGGCTGCAGAGGAGCCTCTACGGGCCCATCTGGCGTTCCCGCTTCGGCCCCTTCGACATCGTCAACGTGGCGTCGCCCGAGCTCATCGCCCAGGTGATCCGGCAGGAGGGCCGATACCCGACCAGGGCCGAGCTGCCCCACTGGAAGGAGTACCGGGAGCTGCGCGGGCAGGCCTACGGGCTGCATGTGGAGTGAGTGCCCCCCCCCCCCACACACACACACACACACACACACACACACACACACTCGGGGGAAAACTCAAGGAGCACTTTTGCTTTACAGCACGGGACCGGAGTGGTACCAGATCCGCGGCGCCCCTCCACCCCCAGATGCTTAAGCTGCGGGACGTGGCCGCCCTACGCCCCCCCTCATCAAGCAGGGGTTGGAGACCTGCTGAAGCGGGTGGAGCTCTCTCGTTGGGGGCAGCCCGGACGGGGCCACTGTTGCCCAACTGTGCCGCCGAAGCCTCCACAAGTTCGG